ATCAGCTGGTGAGCTGCAGTGTCCCCTGAGCATCAGCTGGTGAGCTGTAGTGTCCCCTAAACATCAGCTGGTGAGCTCCAGTGTCTCCCCTGAGCATCAGCTGGTGAGCTGCAGTGTCCCCTGAGCATCAGCTGGTGAGCTGCAGTCTCCTCTAAGCAGAAGCTGGTGAGCTGCAGTGTCCCCTAAACATCAGTCTCTTTTTAGTGGTGACATTTATGCCTTGGCTTCTTGTTTCCTCATGTTATAATGAGACCTTTGGTCAGGTACCCATGTGACAGTGCAGACTGCCCAGGGCTGTGGACATCCCTGAGCAGATGGGTGTGTCCTTTGCCCAGTTCTAGCTAGGGGTTCTGCACCGGGGTTAAAGGCCACTCCATGGTGAGCTGCACCTGCTTCCTTTTCTGCAAGTTACCTCCCTTGACTGCAGGGCTGACAAGGTTAGCGCTGAGACAGAGTGAGTTCTAAGTGAGTTCCCAGCTAGGAGACCCTTATAACTTGAGGGTTTTCCAGACTCTGCGTTAGTCCTTCTACCTCCTGCTTCTCCGTCGTCCTCCGTGTCTTCTCTCTCCTCGTCTCCCCAGTCGTCATCCTCGTCGTCTCTGTCGTCTCTGTTGTCTCTGTCTTCTCTGTCCTCCATTGTCTTCCTCCAGTTGTCCTCTCCTTCATCGACTTCCTCCTCCATTGTCTGTCTTCCTCCGGTCCTCCTAAGGCCTCTCAGATCCCTGTGTGGTGGGGTATATTGGACCTCTCAGATCAGATCCCTGTGTGGTGGGGTATATTGGATCTCTCAGATCCCTGTGTGGTGGGGTATATTGGACCTTTCAGATCAGATCCCTGTGTGGTGGGGTATATTGGATCTCTCAGATCCCTGTGTGGTGGGGTATATTGGATCTCTCAGATCCCTGTGTGGTGGGGTATATTGGACCCTTCCTAGCAAGAAAAGCACTCAGGTCATAAAAGGGCTCAGCAGGAGCTTAAGACAGGAACTCTACCAGTGGCAGGCTCTTCAGGAAGTCTCTCCAGGGCTCCCTGACTGATGCAAATGTTAGAGTTGGACCGAGACAGAGAGGGCTGGTCAACCTCTGATAAAGAAGCAAACCGTGTGTGGTCTGCCCTCCAGTGTGTGCGTCCCCCAGGACTGAGGACAGATGAGGCCATGACTGCCCTCCAGGACCTGCCCAGAGCTGCTGCAGACTGTGCTGCCCAGGCATGCAGAGGATGCATGCTGCAAGGGACGGGCTATCCTGTGCATTGACACACACAGGATGTGTGATGGCTTCAGCATCAGAAAGTGAAAATACTGTAATTTCTTTGTTGTCTTCCATTGGCATCTGTGTTTGGCCAGGTGCTTGTCCTAGGATTCTTTTCGTTTCTCAGTGTCTTCAGCCCTTCTGTATGCTCCTGGGGAGGTGAGTAATGGAGTAAGAATCTGCATCTGACACCCTCTGGTCGGAAGGGGACTCGTGCCAGAAGGAGCTTGGGCTAGTGGGCTTCCAAGTCAAGTCGAAGTTCCATCTTCACTCCACCACTGACCTTCTGTGACCTTGGGCTCCTGATTTTTAGCCTTTTGTTTTATTTTTCAGAGGAGGCATCGTGTACCCAGGCTGGCCGCAAACTTGCTACATAGCTGCAGCTAACTGTGAGCTCCTGATCCTCCTGCCCTCGTCTTTAAAGTGTTGGGGTTACAGGTATATGCCACCATGCCTGGCTTGTCTGTTTTACTTTTTTAATTATTTTTGTTTCATGAATGTTTTTGGCTGTATGTATGTATGTATGTATGTATGTATGTATGTGTACCATGTGCATGTGGTGTTCAGAGCCCAGAAAATGCTCAGATTCCTTGGATCTGGAGTTGTATATGGCTGTGAGCTGTTATGTGGGTGCTGGGAATTGAGCCTCTGTCTTCTGAAAAAGCAGCCTATGCTGATAGCCACTGAGCCATCTCTCTAGCCCCTTGTTTTTAATCCTTCTAAGGCAGTATTTCTATGTGAAAAAATGGGAATAATTCTTCCCATTGACAGGTAGATGAAATGTGAGGTTCACAGAAGTCCTCTCTGGGGCTACGAGGATGATGCCTTCCTGACCTGCACAGCCTGTCAGCATCACGGGCCAAATGCTCTAGTCCCCATCTTCCTTATTGACAGAACCAGGGTGACATGGTTTTATTGCTAGATGGTGGTGTGCCCTGTCCCTGTGTCACTAGGGTTCTGCTTTGCTGTATTTAAGGGCTATCTAAGATCTAGGTAGGAATGTCCATGCCACAGGTAATGAACCAAAAAAAAAGAAAGATGGCTGGGCAAAATGTTTGTGTTGTGGGGTCTCCCCAGGTCCTGATGGCTCAACACAAGAACTTGGGGCTGTAACTTTCACCTTAGGACATTCTTTCCTGGCAGACACTGTCTTTCCATAGGGCTGGCACCAGGGTCTTTACCCTGTGGCTGGAATCTGCTTCCCGTCCCTAGACAGGAGAAGCTGGGTTGTCAGCATCCAGGCCCAACTACTGGGCTTTGGTTTTCTCATTGTTTATGAATGAGGAAGGAAATCAGCCTCTGTACTCCTTTTTGGGGGTTGCCGTATGACGTTGACTGCCATGAGGTCCTCATTTACCAGGGCAGACTCTCCTTCCCAAACCCAGGAGGGCAGAGCAGCGGGCTGTTCTCATGCTTTGCTCTGTCCTGAGCAGCTGGATTCTCATCTCTTATAACCTTTGCTCTTTTTTGTTGTAGAAAAGTCACATAGAATATCAACTAAGACTTTGCTTCTGCACCACAAAGGGAAATAGAACAAGGAACAGATGAATCAGTTTTCCTTACATTGTAAGCTGTGATTTCTTCATAAACTAGCTTAGAGAATGCCAATTGCTTCCTTGAACACCCCTGAGTGTTTGCCAAATGCCAGATTCTGCACTACTGATAGAGGCCAAGATGCTTAAGTTGTCTGTGTTCTCTGTCCTCAGAGGGCTTCTAGGGACAACAGTCTCCAGAGAGCTGTGATATCCTGCAGCTGAGCAGTCAAGGAGGGATGATTGAAAGCAACGGGGAGTGCCCCAGTGCTTTCCAGTGGGGAATGGATAATTACTTCACCCACCCATTCCCATCCACACTCAGAGCCCAGCCCAAACCTCCCTCTTCCAAGAAGTCTTCTAGAGGTTTGCAGAGCATGTATATCCAGATATGATAGCATCTTATACCCCTCTCTTCTGGCAGCCTTTGACACTTGTGCCCACCTAGATACCTTAGCTTTACACAAGGCTTCCATGTTGCATGTCATTCAGGACAGGCACTTTGGAGTGAAACACACATGGCCAGACAGCTAGACAGGAGTATGGGGCCTAGGATTTGAATGGTTTCTGCAATTAGCAAAGAAGTTTGTTGTCTATGGACCCCAGGCTAGACAGGAATATGGGTCCTTGGGTTCTGCAGTTAGCAGAGAGATCTGCTGCCTCTGGACCCTAGGCTAGACATGATTAGGGGCCCTTGGTTTTAAGCAGAATGAATTCTGCAGTTAGAGAGGGCTGGTGGTCACTGAAAGTGATTCAGCAAGCTGGTGGCCTTTTATGTTCTTGTCTTTACTCTGTTAGGTGCCAAGCCTCCCAAGATGTCATTTTTATTGGGGGAGAGGGTGGTGGTGTCATTATGCATCCCAGACTGTCCCAGATCCCAGTCCCCCTGCCACAGTCTCCTGAGTGGCTTGATTACAGAGGTATGGTACTATACCTAGTCTTACTGCCCTTTTTTTAAATTTACTCCTCCAGAGATCATGAGGATCATTCAGCTGGACCTTGACCTGAAGTATAAGACCAACATCCGAGAGCTGTTTGAGGAGTTTGACAACTTCCTGCCAGGTGCTGTTATCGGCATAGCCAGAGAGATGCAGCCTGTGTACAGGTAGGTGCTGGCTGTAGGAGGAAGCCTGAGGGCTCTCTCCCATCCTCTCCTCTCTTCTACCATGCATTGCTGCTTGGATGCAACTCCATTGTGGTCTCTCTGCACTTGCTCCTTGGAAGTGTGTTTGCACTTAGGGCTAACAGGTGATGTCACAGGCAGGGAGTGGGTGTGTTCTGGAGCTGGAGAGGCTGCCCCATAGAGTGGAGGATTCTTGAGACTTTTTCCTCCAGAAAGCCCAGTTGTCCATGTTGTGGGCTCTGGTTAGGCTCATGGGGTTAAAATCTCAGGCTTCATCTGGAAGCAGTGTCAGGATTTCCCCTTCAGAGCATGAGCTGGGTTCTCTTAGCTTTATGTCACCATGGCGCTGTCACACATAAGGAGAGTGGGTGGACAGTGGTGCAGAGGGAGCCACAGCAGCTCTGGGCACAAGTGGGTGCGTGCTGGTCATGGTGAACAGGCACTTTCCTCCCCAGGCAGTACTTCCTTGTCACGTGTGTAGCACAGAGAAGCTCCTGTATCTGAAGCCAGGAGGCTTGCTCAAGGGTCTTCTCTGAGCCCCTGAAATGTTCTTGACAGCACAATGGTTAAATAAAGTGTATCTACCCAATTAAGTACTGCTTAGCACTCAAAAAACAAATAAAAAAATGCATGGTAGTTGTACATGCTGATAGGCAGAACAAAATGGCAGTCTTTACTGAGGCAAACACAAGGGTTAAAAATCACAGGGAAAACCAAGGAGCTGCTCTCCAAAGCCAGCACAGATCTTGGGGACAGAAAGGGGGCGGTGCTTTGTGTCCTGCTCCCTGCAGTGACTATGTGCATGTTGCATGTACATTGTGTCTAGAGAGAAGAGCTAAGAATAGCAGAAGTAGGTTTGGGTTCAAAACTTGTCTCATTGCTGAGGCTCTAGTGTGCCATGTTGCTGACTCACCCCTCCCCTCCCCCACTTTTGACAGATTGACAGTCTCCCCCAAGCCAGGTGATCAAGTTTGCTCAGGAAGACCTAGAATTCTTCTTCCTTGAGCTCCTGAGGCCCTTTGTTCTGTGCCCCTCACCCCCTGCCCATGCTGGCTCCCTGCAGAAATCCTGGAGGAGCTAGAAGTCATCAGAGAGCTGCTGGCCCTGGCATCTAGTGACTCAGAGGGGAAGAGACAGGCTGGGTTTAGTGGTGGCTCTTTGCAAGTCTCAGATCACATAACAGGAAATTCCTACAAGGCCTCAAATGAGCGATAACTCCTGGGGCTTTGTGGGCTGTTCCTATTACATAATATTGACCCAGGCTCCTGGAGTCTTGGGCAGTCTCCTACTTGCATGAGCAGAGGGGTTGTGGATAGATGAGGTAAACCTGCAATTCGGACTATAAGACACTGCTCCCAAGGCTAGCAGCATTCTATGTAAAATTCTGGGTTTCAGTCCCTGCTGACACCATACCTGTCACCTTAGTGCCCCTTAAGATAGAAGCAGAGGAGCTCCTGAACTTTGTCTCCCTCTGGCTTTGATGCTCACAGCGCCTCTACCCTGCTTGTCTTACGCCATTGTATGCAGTGGGCTGCCTCCTGCTCAGATGTAGACCCTAGGACATTTAGACAGGTTATCAGATACTGTTAAATCAGCAACACCTGCAAGACAGGGTTGGCGCTTCTTATTATAATATGTGAAAACCTCATCACATCTGTTACAGATAATCTTGACCAAAAGTTTTTGTTGTTGTTGTTTTCTGCAAAACTAGGCTTTTATAGTGGTAGATCTTAAATCACTTTATCTGGCCTTCCCAAAAGAAACAGCTGAAAGGTAGTAATTCAGATTAAGTTTCCCTTACTTTCTGAATCTTTATCATTATGTGTAGTGATGATCATGAGAACCTGATACTGGCAGAGTCTTAAAAACACCACTCAGTAAACCAGACATTTACATCTCCCCACCTCTGCCATAAGCCACCACTAAATGTCACTAAAGACTTGCCATAAATCAAGACTGCAAATGAGGGTCTTGCACTACTCTGCATCCAGGGGTCACCTGTTACAGTGTGTGCTTTTAGTATTTGCTGAGAATGGTCTGGCTGGTGGCAGACAGCCAATATAGCATATGTGTATTGGGGTGGGGTGGGGTATACACATAGCCTTCATACATAAGGAAACTGGAGAACCCAAGGACCTGGAAGATCATTGTTAGCTGTCCCTGCCTCGGAATATTTACCTGGCTGGGGCCATGGAGGGAGGCCGGGGTTGGATGAAGAAGAAAAGGTGGAAGAAGAGAAGAGTCTGAGCAATGCACCTACACAAACAAGGACAGGTGAAGCTGGGCCTCTGAATGGGCATGGCCTTGCTCCTTAGACTTGGGCAACACAGTTTCTGAGGGGCCTACAGCTCAGGCAGAGCCCCTCCCCTAACAGCTGGTGCTCAGAGGCCTCCCCAAGTGTCCCGATGTGGCATGGACAGGTAACTTGTTATAAGTGGAATCTGATAGCATCCAGGAGAAGAACGAATCAGATAACAAGTACTGTAGCTCTGGGTGAAATGTGACTAGTTAAGCAAGCAGACTTGGGTCTGGAAATTCACTGAACAGGAATAGGCTCCAGTCCCCCCAGCTGTGTAAGTTTTTTAGTCCCTTGTCCTACAGCTACTGTACTTCAAAAGGCACACAGCAAGTCCTTTTTATGTTGTTTTCCCCTCTATTGTGAGTCATGAAATGTCTCAGGCTTGGGGAGGGTGGGGAGAAGTGTTTCCCACCATGCATTTGACAAATGGCTTTTTCACAATTTCTTCCCCACAAATACATCAAACTGACTGCTTTCTGGACAGTGTTATAGGGTCGGAGAATATTGGATACACATAGAGGATAGCTTTCCTCCATGGGTGCCTGCTACAGTTTGGTCAAGCCAACCATGACTTTCTGAAAATCAGAGACCTGGTCATCTTGGGTAGAGTGCTTTGACCTTTCTGTGCACCTCTGCCAGGAACTGGAACCCTGGTGAGCTTCTCTGTGGTGCTCTGTGTGACTGGGATAACTGATCAAACCCTGAGGCCTGCTCTGCACACCCACACTTGAAGTTTACAAACATAGCAATGTGGAATGGCTTCCTGTGAGATGGCTTCCTGGGATTGCATTAGAAGTCCAGGAAGCAGTCAGGCCTCTTTTATGTGCTTCCTGCAGTTTAGTATGAGGTCATAGGGACAGCTAAAGCAGCTGATGCAAAGGCAATGGTATCAGTAAGCCAGTTAGCTGTGGGCTGTGCTGCAAGTCACAGGATCCTCTGTGGTTTCTATGTGTGTGCAGGGAGATCTGTCTAACATCTGTCTGTCTGTCTACCTATCATCCGTCTGTCTGTCTGTCTATCATTTGTCTATCTGTGTCTCATGAACTCCTATCTGATCCCTGATTATATCAGGTATCACCTAAAACAGGACACCAGTGATGTGGAACTTCACGTTAGCAACAGATACTGATTTGCGTGATAAGTGTACTCTAGATGGACATACCTAAAGTTATTTGTTGTTAATTTGGAAAGAATATCCTGTTTGTTTTTCCTAACTCTGGTAACCCATTCCCAGCCTCCCAGCCCAGTTAGACATCTTTTTCAGCAGAAGGGAGGAACCTGACTTTCCTTCAAGAGCCTGGGAGGAACAAAGTGTACAGTGGAAGTGGAGTGGGCGAGGTAACCAGGGCTAGGGTGAGTGTGGCTCCTCCTTAGAATGCATAGTCCAGAGACGACCTCCCTGCCGGAGCTCGGAGCTAAGGTGGCTGAGCTCATCGAGGAGGCCAGAGTGCCAGGCAGCCTGACAGTGACTTAGCTTCAGGTCTTGGGCGCCTCCTAACTCTAGCAGTTGTCAGAGAGAAATCTGGAGCCTGAGAGGCAGCAGCCAGTGAAGGTCATTTTGTCCTAGAGCTGACTGCCTGAGGAGCCTCAGCATGGCAGCTTTGTGGGTAGGGGCTACAACTTCTGGTGCATTCTTCAGCCCTACGGGCCAGGATCCTAGAACACCATGGCACACTGTGAAGCCATCGGCAGGGCAGCATGGCTGCTCTCTGAGCCTCCCTGTGCCAGCTTCACCTCCTTCCAGATGCTGGGCTGAACATGTCTGTCCAGCTTCTCTACACTTGCCTTATTCCCTTCCTAAGACTGGTATAGGCCTGTCAGGAGCATGCTGGATAGGACGGGAGGGCATGGAGAGATCTCACGTCTTCCACTCTGGGATCTTGAGAATTAGGTATTTTCTCTGAAGCTAGTTTCTCTAGCTGATTATAACACTATTTATAGCAGATTTGATGGAGGGTTAAATTAGATAATGTTATTTATACTTCCTGGCACAGAACAAAATAAGTAGTGGCAGTAGCAGTGTTACACGCCACCCCCTGCGTCCTAGCAGAGCCACTAAAAGAGTCCTGTGGTGCTAGAGCGGCCATTCAGCACCCAAGCCCTGGCTTCCCGGTATGTAGAATCCAGGCTAGGGTAATGTTAGTGGTGCACACCTCTGTGGTTGAGGAAGCTCCTACCTGCCCTAAGAGCCTGCCTGCCTCGTTAGGGGAGACGGAGAAGCTATGACTCAGAGCTTCCTTGTTACTGACAATGTGCAGATTCTCTGTTCTCTCTTTCCTTCCTCCCCCAGAGCAATCACTCTCAGTGTAGCGTCTGCACATATCAGATTTTCCTTTACTACACACCTTAAACAAGGCAAGATATTTGCAGAACAGAAGCCTAACATATTACAGGCGACAGTGACCAGTCTACAATGACAGGAAAGTTTTAATATCCCAAGAGGGTAGTAGAAACCCAGAGGGTCACAGAGAAGGTAGTGCTCCATGTGGCCTCTGTGGAGGAGACTGGGGAGAGGGCAGGGGAACACTCTAGCAGGTGCCAGCCCCTGTCCCCACACACCAGTCTGCCATCCATCTGCTGCCTGTGCCTGGATGCTTGTCCTGTTCCCTGTGAAGGATGAGCTGCCTACTCTGCTTTCTTCCAGAGCTCAGAGCATGACTCTCTGTCCTGGTTCCATCTCTGG